AAGGGTACGCAACCGGAAATGTTGAAAGCAGAAGCATACATGTAGGTAAATCATATAACAGTCGTTATCATTTCCTGTTTACCAAACGCGACCGCTATCACATAGGCCGCCTGATATGTTCAAATAAACAACGACTATTGGGAAGTGAAGAATTAATCGAATAAATTAAAGGTTATGGCAGTATATGACGTACTCCAATCTTTCCGAATGGGAGAATTACCATTTTCCATACTTAATATCCGGGTTGCGCGGAACACCGTTTATGAACGCCAGTTTCCACTTCCGGTAAACAACTACCTGAATTTACTTTCATAATATATAAAGCAGATAAATGCTATTGTACCATCGCAATCCCATTTTTCAGTTTTATTTGGCTCAAACACTGTTGCTGTTTCCTGACGGTTAAAGAATTCAAGTGGGGACGGCATTTTCCAGACGAAGGTAGGATCTAAATTACTCCGGTACCTTAGTAAATTTCGCTTCCAGAACAATAGTCTGAAGTTATACACAGTCGCCGCTGTACTTGTAGTCTGTAGAAGGTGGCCAGATATCTATTAATCTTCGAATTATGTAAGACAGCATTATCGCAGATTCCTAGTTTGTAGATATACGTCTGTTTTTTGTAGGAATGGCAAAGATGATAATGGCCTGTCTGCTCCTGGCGTTGGTGCTGGTTGCTCGCATTCAGGATACCAAAGCGGACACTTTCTACGGAAGCGTTGCGGCGGCGTGTAGATGGCTGAAGGATAACTTTGGCTACGGCTGCGACGGGCAGGCGGAACGCTGGATTTGGCAGACTTATCATCGTCTTCGTTATGGTGCCACCGACTGCAACTCCTATTGCATCCGCTCGCTGAACAGACCACGCGGTGGACGGTGCCTCCGACAGCCGAATTACGACCAGAGCACGTGGTGCCCTCCTGGACAAACATGCACTTGCAGTTGATACAGAAATAGGAGTTCGTGGGAAGTTGTATGGTGGGCGTGTACAGTACATATTCCTTAAAACTATGATAAATAAAAACTGCATAAAAACGAAACTGCGCAAAACCCAAAATACGAGTATAATAGCTTTTACTGCTGTACCACTTTATTGTGATCATTTATTATGATTCGTTATTAATTATTATTTGTTGATTATGTTGTTATTTATTAATTATGTTCTCTTTTCATGTTTTTTGAATATTAGAATTTAGTTTTAATCAATGTAAGCTTGTGCAGGCGTATCGCTCTGTGCACTGTTCGACTGTTGCCGAATAAAAGTAAGAATGTACTCGTACTAGTAATACTAGTAGCTGTACTCGTATTGAACCACTTCTTTGGACGCTACTGCGATCGTTTAACTAGGCACAAAATAATAATGAACGCCTGTTACCGTGCAGCCCAAGTCAATCGCATACACCATATCCAGTTACCCGCAAATCCACCACAAAACGTTTTTTGCTGTTTTCCCCATATGCTGCCTGATCCGCACAGACGCAATGTCCAACAGTTCGCCAAATCCGAATTTGCTGTAGCCGCAGTTCAGATAACGTTCCGGCCATCGTCGAACCGGCCACACACAGATCCAATTACATCACTGAATCAGCTGCAATAAAATCCAGCGCGAATTTGGGAAAGCCCTTTTTTTTGTTGTATGTGATGGTCGCCACATTGCGCTAGTTAATATCGGGTAAGTTGCGTTGGGACCTTAATAAACTTGTACTTTGTTTCGTCAAGACGCATTCCGAGATTTGCTTTCGCGATTTATAGTAAGCGGCCAAATGGAGACTGATTACAATAAACGGCCAGAAAGCTCAACCAAAGCTGCAGTTTCTCCCGAACCAACGTTTTCCTTCCGCTCTGATAAGCTAACGAGCGTCGAGTGCATACAGTTATCTGCAGTTCCAGCAGCAACCCATTCTAGTTGTAGCCCGGTTCGTTCTCGGCAAGACTGCGACAGAATGCAAAACGATGAATTTTTAATTGTCCCCATTTCACGCACTTTCCTTGAGGTGGACTGCCCGTGGGTTCGGCGGGACCTGTTGACCAGTGTAACAAAGCTAGTGGGCACTATCAAACCTAAACGCGCTATGACCATCACACTGAAGGACCTCACCTCCCCCTCCGAAGATCCCGTTCATGCTGACGTAGATGAACCCAGGGCCTAAAAACTTGTGCCCACGTAGCACAAAGTGTGCTGACGTAAAGGTGTATGTGCTCACCTAGATGAGGACGTGTGCTTAAAAACTGCCAATACTCCCCTCTTTGTTGTGATTTTCCAACTTTTAGATGTTATTTTATTTTATCAGAGAAACGTAGTGCTCCCCCATCTCTGACCAACTGCAAAGCAACATAACTTGGCAAAAAGCGAATATTTTAACATAGCTCAGATCAGCATGTAAACTACTGTAGTCGTGGCCAGTTAGCTATTGTTTAATGGGTTGGCAAATCCGTTTCACGATCTGTCGGCTTTCAGAGTTTGAAAGTTTGACACAATGGACCGGCAGCGATGCTGACCTCATGCTGACTAACGCTTCACAAATTACCATGCTCACAGACGGTAAAATCTAATTTCTATCGCCAAGTTGATTTGACTTGCAATAATTGTCCAGCTGCGAAGCAAACCTGCGGATTATATCGAAGCGGAGGCCTTAAAGCTGCAGCTGGCTGAGTTCAAAATGGTAGCAGGCCGGAAGAAAGCATCGTTTTGAACCATGGGAAATAATTAACCCAAGAAAAACAAAAGGTGACAACTCCGTACACAACCTCTTACTCGGTTCACAACCTTCGACACCACCTTTTATTCTGCTCACTGCCTTTCTTTCCCTTTCGCGTTTCACGTTCTCCCATTAGAAAAAACTAACGAGAATTTTGCAATATTTGATTTCTTACACCACAATTTTGGAAAGTGTAAAGGAATATTTTGCTTGTACAACCAAAACAAAGGGGTTGCACATGCGGCTTGAACGATCGGAGGTGGCCAACTCATTCGCGTTCACACCTTCCTTGCGCTTCCGGTCAGCAGCTTTCCATTATCCCCACCCTCCCCACGCACTGATACGTTTCAAACAGGAGACGTACAGCATTAACGAGGTATCAGTGCAATTTGAATTGAAGTAGTTATGAACAGCTGGGTTGAGTGAAATAATCGGTGGATATCAGTCTGATTCGCCGTTGTCGTACAGACGGTTAAATCACTTAAATCACTTAAATGATTTAAGCGCACCGCCGGAAGAGGTTGCGAAGTGAACAAGGTAGTGCCAAAAAGTAATGGACGGAGTGAATGGTTGAGCAAAAAGTTGTGAAATGAGGGGTTTTAAAAGGTCGTGAACGGGTACCAAAACAAAAGCAGGCAGCCAAAAAATGCAAAGAAGATCTAAGCAAAAATATACAACCTAGCATTCTGATATGCCATTGCATTTCCTGCTGGTAACTCGGACATGTTAGGTTGTGTTTATTTTTTTCATTTGCGGTAACAGTGTTCCAACTTCCTACTTAATTACCGAGTTGACAGTTAACACAACCATTTATTGAAAACCATATTATAGAAAACCAACCGGTTTCCTAAATTTCGAAAAATATGCTGACGGCAGTTAGAGAGCAAGGTAAAACAGACATGGTACGGAGAAATCACAATACTTGAACGCCAAACAAAGCTTAAAAAACAGCCACAAAGAAAATTTAAATTTAAATTGGCTATTTTTCTACGAGTTTCTTGCAGTTCTTGCAGGATACAGTACGTTAGCTTCGAGCTTCGCGTGAAGTCCCCCCCACCTAGTTGGATCCTAAATGTTTATTTCGTTTGGCCCTTCTTTAGGAAATATTGTCCTTCGGCTCGCGCTTCGCGCGAGAAATGTACTTGCGCTGCATTTTGTTACAAGTTCTCTGAACGCTTCAGTTCACTTACATGGTGCAAAGATAAAAGATAGTCAATACCCTCCCCTTAGAAAAATTAAATGTGATCACGTAAATTTTGAAGATTTTAGGCTCTGGTCAACTTGAACCACTTCGTCAGCAACTCATTGCATTGACAATTGACTGTGCACTCACCAACAACATAGCGTCCAAGATCTGTGCAGTGGGGCCTCTGCCCTACGTCGTCCGACTCACTATAAGATTCGGCACAATGTTGATCGTCAAGAAGAACGATTTCCAGAATCTCCCGCAGTTACGGATGATTGATATATACAAAACGACAATCGGCACCATGGAGCCGTACACAATCACCGATCTTGTACACCTACAAAATCTTGGATTAGAAGGCGACTGGTACTAGTACTCGCGAACAGAATCCAGAGATAAAATGGAAGGTTCTGAATTAGTCCGCATGACCGATAAAGAAAATCAAAGTATTGGACGACTGCATTGCGACTGTTCGTTCGCTTGGCTTCGAAATTTCCTATTGCCAACGGAACGTACAGTGAGATGTTTGTCATCGGAAATTACATTTCGCCTAGTGTTAGGTCCGATAATGTAAATGTCCAGCCTATGTTCCATGTTGACTGTGCAAAGAATCTGTACACCAGCAATATCAATGTCGGTCCACTGTTCGCGTATAACACACAGTGTTTCCAGAACAAGTGCTAGGCTTTTGTTTACCAATACAGATCACGAAACACGTGGAGGTCTGTTTAATACTGAGCTGAAGACAAACATGCCTGTTCAATACTTACAATTAGTTGTAGAAAACTATCTCTGATTGCTGGATCTATGTATTAGCACATGCAGATGCAAAATAATATGCCGTCAAACCTATAAGCATCCTTTATAAAAATTGATATAACAGTATGCAGTATCAACTATCACAGTACATGTTCCATCGGAAGACCTTTTACCCTTCGGAATAATTCTTGATATCTCTTGAATCTGCTCCTGGAGGACATTTTTCTTGGATGTGCTTTTTGACGCACATTTATAATGATGTCAAAAAATCACTCTTATGCCAGTCTGATCAAGATTTTGCGATTGAGCTGCTCCGTTACTTTCTGCAGTGTGAGCTGGAAGTGTCATGCAAACAATTGTCCTGTATTTGTCTTAGAGCGTGACTAGAGCCTGTAACGCACTTCGGTTTTCTCTGTTTTGCCCTATGCTGTAAACTTGGAGATGCTATTGAAAGTTTTGACGCAAATCAGCGCAAAACGGCAAGATGGCACCCATTGGTACGAGTAGTACTTTGTTTTAGCTAAAGTGTATGTTAGGAAGGAAGCATTCTCACTGGAGTCCACGTTACCAGCCCTTTGCCTTCCCTTGCGCCATTATTGCAGTTTTTTAAGGCCTGGTTATTGATCGCAATATTTATACATGGCTTTTGCTTTTTATGATGATACTGATAGCAAGTAGTAGCTATAAAAATTAATAGACAATCTGCACAAATCTCGACCGTACAGACTGTAGTATGTAGTGCCATACCCTGCTCGAACGAACTATGGATGGCTGTTGGATTGACGCGGGCGAGTTGGTCCCGAGACTGTCGTGTTTAACTGCAATAAAACGTAGTTAACGACAAAATAAGCAAATTCGATAAACTACTGTTGCATCGTGTTTATTATTATAAACAGGATGCAACAGGGCAATTTCTTTCTGTTATTCAAACAAACAAAAATAAATTACTTGTGCTCTGTTTTTTACTCCCTGCCTGCCCCATGCGCTCACGAATTCAGTTTGAATGAATCGAATGTATGCATGGTGACAACAACTGTGATTTCTTTAAGGAGGCGGAATGTTGGAAGCAGAAAGTATTTACTTACAAGTAATCGTCGTTATCGTTTCCTGTCTATCAAATGCAACCGCTATCACTCCGACAGCGTCATCTGTTCAAATAAACAACGACCATTGTGAAGTGGAGAATTAAACGAATAAATTATAGCTTATGGTGGCATATGACGTATTTTATCTTTCCGAATGGGGAATTGCCATTTTCCATGTTTGATATCCGGGTTTTGCTCAGCACTGTTTAAGAACGACAATTATCAAACTTCCGGTAAACAAACTGTCTGATTTTGCCTTTATACTCGTACTATATAAAGCAGATACTGTTGATGTTCTTGCAGCGTTGCAATCCAATATTAAATTTTTTTATTTAACTCGAAATTGTTCCTGATCCGAACGGTACAAGGTACAACGGTACAAGTGTGGACGAAACTTTCCGGATGAAGGTAAGACTGTAATCGCTAGCATTCCCTACTCTACCCATCCGGTACGAAAACTTTAAATTTTGTTTCAAGAACAATAGCCTGTGCGTAGTCTCCGTTTTGCTAAAACGGGCCCGGTGTTTACGAATTTACTGATTATCGCAAAATTTCCCAGCTTATCGACATACTTCTGTCTTTTTTAGAAATGGCAAAGATGATAGTGGTCTGTATGCTCCTGGCGTTGGTACTGGTTACTCGCATCCAAGATTCCAAAGCCGACACTTTTTACGGAAGCGTTGCGGCGGCTTGTAGATGGCTAAAGGAGAACCTTGGTTACGGCTGCGACGGGCAGGGGGGAACGCTGGATTTGGCAGACTTATCATCGTCTTCGTTACGGTGCCACCGACTGCAACTCCTACTGCATCCGCTCGCTGAACAGACCACGCGGTGGACGGTGCCTCAACCAGCCGAACTACGACCAGAGCACATGGTGCCCTCGTGGACAAACTTGCACTTGCAGTTAACAACGCATTGGCAGTTTTGTGTAAAATTAAACCGTGCATAGGATATAGTTCAATTATGCACTTAGCTATCCATTTTTTTAAATAAAAAGCATAACAGAACCCCGCAGAATCTGCAAACTGCAAAACCTGCGCAGAATCTGCAAATGGAAAACTTCTGCTACTGCGCACCTTTATCGTGAATATGAGTATTTCACACCTTGACGTTTTTGTAATGACTGCTCATCTGCCTGGCTTCGAAATTTTCTTCAAGGGTATCCGTATTCGATTTCCAGCACAGCGTAGAGTGAGAGATATTCGTAATCGGAAACTAGATTTCAGATGATAATAATTATTAAAGCGAATGATGTTATGTCCAGCCTTTTTTCCATATTGACTGTGTAAAGAATCTCTTCCTCAGCGAAATCAATGTCAGTCCACTGTCAATGTCAGATCACATGATTTTCTGCAAGTTGGTGACTTATTGAGCTTCCCGGCAAATTTGAAAGAGATTCGCTATATCGCAGACGATTTAATGCTAATCGATGTCATAACAGTAAGTACAGTATGCTTCACTTTTATGTCCAATCCAGTTATGTGTACATAGATCCCCGCAGTATTTATATGAATTTACTACTTATACAGACGTTTTATGGGATTTCTGCATATTTTATCGATGGTCGTAATCGCATAGAATTGCCTGTCCTTGATGAACAACAAAATATTCCATCAAAGACTGTGCAATTGCCATTCGCCATCGGCATTTGGAGTGGGCGCAGTTGTCCAGTCAGCTTTTGCTACTTCATTCTTTTAGGCCCCTTTGTGATGTGCAGGTCGGCTTGCCTTTTGCGGCGCCAAAATGTTGCCTTGTTGTCAGTTACGTAGCACTTTGTTTGATTGTTTTCGTGAAATTGTCAACTACATGTACTGACGATCTGAAATTGTACCAACCACAGGACAATAAAGGCTGAGACACTTCATATCTGTACACAACATTTGTTTCTGCTTGGAGGACAGAAGTAATGCAACATGAAAACAAGGGCTCGTTTAACAGTTACGGACAAATCACTCGCGTAGGATGATGAATCCCTGAAAGGAGAAAAGTCAGTATTACCCAACAATAGCAGACCTCAAGCATGTCCAGCTTTATCGTTCCCAGCCTGGTACTGCTTTAACAATTTTTTGGTTCGAATTCCAAAGAGATAAGCAATAACCAATAACAACACATAGAAGTACAGATAGAAATATGCATGCGATGTTTTAATGCTACACTTACGTACTAGTCACGTATCGCCGGTACAACACTCGTACATTTACCGAGATGGCGAGACGATTTGCATGAGCGGCACCGGAAAGCAGCGAAGGGAAGAAAGAAAAGAAATAGCAGCAATAACTGGTATTTCAAAATTCAGCTGTACACACAAATCTGATATTTTTCCTGCGCAATAGTTGCTAACATGCACGTATAAGAAGAAGAAAGCAGTTAGCGCGGAGATCAAAACATTGCGTTGTATTGCTTTCTATAATGTGCTGAAATCTCTTTCAGCAGAAGTTTTTCGCCTTTGTCATCGACAATTTTATTGATAATTCCGTTCGAGTTGTCTTTGTGCTTCCGCTATTATTGTTCTTGTATGGAAACTGGATAATGCGAATTTGAACCGTCAAGTATCTGTCGCAGTAGAAGTGTGATCTTAATTAACTTTCTTGATCGTACTATCTCATTTAACTTTTCTTAGAGGAGTTAGAGCCGAATTTTTTTTAAGAGTACGAAGTATACTTAAATGCGCCATCTTTATTAATTACGCAGGTAAATTTCTACCCTAGGTGTCAGTTCATTTTGACGTTTGTCGTTGTTAGCTGCCATGGCATCTACGAGTTAAATTAGTGTAATTAAGTAAATAAATTAACTAATACTCTTTTCGCACAATTTAATTACGTACTAATGCCGTTTAATTATTTTAGTTAAAATAATCACACTTCTTGGCGTTTGATGGTATATTGACGCGTGAGAGCGCATTCTACTGTTTTTTTGGTGACATGCAGGCCTGGTATGTATTTACAAAACGGAGCTGTTCATGTGGGTAATTGTAAAACGACAAGCATCAAAGCAATCCACTCTTCATTCTTCCTCTTCATGGCTCTCATCCTCTACATCTCCGCCCTTGCGATTCGATTGATTGTTTTGCGACTGATTGCGATCATGCAACCAAACATGATAAGCGCATTCCACCGTGTCGCTCAAGCTTACACATCTTCGTAACCGTTGCCGACAATTTCAACGACAAATCCATTACAAATCGATCGCTTTCTTTGTAATTCGTCTCAGCAGCTTCCATAGTACGCACAACGACAACGTCAAACAGCTCGCCCAACTCTGCGTCGCTGTAGTTTTCCAGAGCTTGCTGATTAACCAGTTTCCCAGCCACCATCGAGCTGGCCATATGGGGATCCACGGGCGCAGTCAGAGCGAAATCTTCCGCAGATTTCGGGGCGGCGGTTTTTCCCAAAACGAAAATTTTCATGTGAAACCGGTGCTGACCCATAATGCGGATGCCAATAAAATACTGATGGCCCGTATCCGCCTGAGAAATACCGCAGCTTCCGCCAGAAACAGCAGCAAACTCTCGTTGTCATAGGACATCCCGAATATTACAACGTTTGCTAACCGGCCACTCTTATCAGGCAGCCGCTCACGGATACTGTACACTCCACCGCTGGATACGACGTGGATGAGAGCGCCGCCGCCCAGGCGGTTCGGGTACGTGTACGACACGGCAAACGTGAGGCCACATTCCTTCCCGTTGTTGTTCATACCGTCCATAACGTCATGCACAAGACTTCCGATGGTGCAGCTATCAACATCAGTGCCGAGACGACGAGCGAACACCATTCCGTAATGGACGAAGATTCGTCTAGATTGGCCCTGACTTTCATCGACGACCTCGTCGAACTCTTTCGGATGGTAGTTTTCGACCTTGCCCAGTATGACGGGCAGACTCCAGGGCACCAACTTCAGATCGATCACTTTAGCAGCCGCTTCTAAGTCTTTGAGCAGATGGGGAGACGCATTGGGAACGGAGGCTTCTGCAACATAAGAAATATTACACCACATAATATTATATGTGGTTACAATATAACTTTACACCACAAAACTTTACAGCGGCAAAAAGACTTAGTCACGGGAAATGTAATTAGGTTTCAGTAACTTGTTGCGGTTCCCGCTAAAAAATCCTTCAAATCTAACGGACGCCGAACGAGTACCACAAAGGACCTTGCAAAATTAAGATGTCTCGAACGCTAGAAGACAAAATAATTCGCTAGCCTCGCGCTTTGCGCGAAAAATGTCGTTATCAAGTATATCCGAAAGTGAAAGGTGTTGTTTCAGTGCGACGTTAAAAATCAGATGCCCTGCCCCACCCTGCCCCAGCCCCATTAGACGCCAAGGCTGATGCATACCGTATATTAAATTTCTTCTACAATATGCTCTGCTCCGTTACCTAGCTTTCCAGCTTCCATGCCACTCAGTTCCGACTCTAGCTTCTCCATCAAACAAAATACATTCATTTTCTCAGGTCCTAATCCTGTTTCAACCACCTGCTCGCCGAAAATATCCTAGAGCAGAGAAATTGCCATGGAAATAAAGTACTTACTTAGACGTTCACAAAAACTTAATTTACGTCAAAAACTGAGTGACCGAGTAAAAATCGGCAATGGTCGACCCATTACAGCTGGTCTCTCACCGAAATACGTTGGCGGAGTTCGAAGCACCGTTCTTTCACTTTATCACGCGACTGGTTAATGAACGTCAAGTGTCTGGGGAGATATTGTAATGTAGGTTGCCGTGGCTGTTAGAATTTTGTATACGGCATGCTCCTGGTCCGCTGCGGCCAAACAAACTGAGGCCAACTTCTCCAGTTCGCTTTCGAGCAAGCAGTCGTGTCGAGGTCCTTGAGAGCCGATAGTATTTGGGCGGAGTCTTCCGACCACGCTGCTTCCACCACCCGACGATACATTCTACAGCGTCGCTTGATCAGCATATACAATTTTATGAGGATATATAGCCCAAAGATAAAATGCACTGTGGTTGAAAAATATATCCGTACAATGCAGTGCTTCTAAAAAATACACCGTTGTTGATTTGCAAAAGTAAAGCATACAGCATACCTAAACTGAAGTTAAACTCAGGATAGCCACTCTTCTTGATAACCAGAACACTCTTTTGCATTTGCATCAAACTAGACTCAAGCGAAATTGCTCTGAATCTGAATGGAAACGTCCGAAGATTCCGGTTACAGCTCCGGGTCGCAAAGTCGCTTAGAAAGACGAAACTGTGATAAAAAAGTTCAGAAATTCTAAAAAAGCTGCAATGCAATGAGTAGTAGCGCTAGTGGCACTGATTACGAATTTACGATGAAAGATCTAACGTCAAACAAATTGCATCATAGTATTAATACTTCAAGTAGTGACACTACTGATTACGATTGTGCAAAATTAATAGTACGTAACTGCGACTGCGGCGAACAGGTCGGACGCGGGTATCACCGAATTCGCACCAGGGCACTTTTAAACTCAGAAATCATTTATCTTTCCCTTCTAATTTCCGAATACTTTGTTTAACAGTTAAACTGCGATTTATTTATCAGTCTAACACATATTTGCAATGGAAATCAGTGGTCCTTGGCCGTTGTTGCATCCGCAGGTGAAGTTCAGGGACCATGAGCATTTTCCGCTGCTGTAGCCTCGACGGCGACAGCTGCGTCGGCAGAGAAATCCCAGCGGACATCCGCACGACCCACGTGCCTCTCCTTCCGCAGCGGCAACTTCGTTGTCGTCCAACACTTCAACGTCTGTATGCATAAAATTAACAGGTACTACAGGAAGATAAGGATACTAGGCGAGTATTACCGCTCTCATGAAAGAGAACTACAGTAAACTGACTAATTCTGACCTTAACAGTAATGCCTAAAATATCGAGATCGGCCATATAAGCTGTACAAACACGAGTGTGTATTTTCCATACACTTGCTTTTGAAGTAGAACAAAACTTATACTGGTTGCAGTACATAACGTAAGATGGCTTTTGCATTGAGGAATCAGTTCTTACCGGAAGCCATGCACGCAGTGACCAGGAGCGTAACCCCAACGAAAACGAGAAGTACATTGTTTGAGCGCATTCTTAAGGATTAGCAAAGAGCTGTTCTGAAACTTTTGACCCGTAAAATTATGAAATGACTTTTGACACCCAATCAAAATGATTGAATTATTATTTTGATAGTCAGAGTAAATTGTTTGTCGGCTAAAAGTTATCCTTTATATCCCGGTTCGATTTCGTAAAAGGCATTCATGGATTAGATGTGCCGAGCACCGTCAAAATACGGAGCCAGACGGATGCGTTTTAATTGTAACAATTTCGTTGTAATTGTACGTAGTCTACGTACTCCAGACGTACCAATTAACGTCAAACATTGCGCGATAACTCTACTTAAACATACTGTCACAAGCAATCCTGAATGTGACCCTAAAATAATGGGGAACTGCCCAGAGCCTCGATCCCGGAACAAAGATCCTTTATTCCAAGATCTGAGCAAGGCCCAAGCAGAGAAATCTAGAGAACTTACAGCGGCGAAGCCGCATGCATGCATCGGACCGCTGCTGTGCAGCGTCGAGCTGAACGCATTGTGAGCGGGGGTTCACTAGCGTTCACGTCCGCAACGCTACGCCACTGGATTACGTGTCTGTGTTGTGTCTCTTCTGATTGGCTTGAGTTGTGTTAGTGGGCGCGGCATAGCACGTGCTGCACAGCGTTACACACTGTTGAATGGGCTCCACGCTTTACGATCGAGCTGCGCCGATCATTATTGATTTTCTGTTGTCGGAATTTTCAATTTATTAAAAAGTCAGCAATTAGCGGTGCGACGTTTCGTGATTTCGCGTAGTTCGCAATCCAGATCGCATTGCTCACTTCCACGGGATCTATTCCGTTTAGGTCTCCGTATCTGGATCACAGTTGGATCTAGCATTAGATGGTAGCAGAGCCGACAGCGGTTCTCTGATTTGATTTGTGTCAGGCAAAGTTGGCCTGTTATTTGATGTGGAACCCGACCAGTAAGGCACAGGTCTATCTCACAGCAAAGCGCACACCACAAGCGGTGAAGTTCCTCATCTGACGCGGATTTCAGCCTTGGTTTTCGGTACAGTGTCTTCAGCGAAGAACCTGTGCTGTTGCCCCAGCTGTGCAAGAGTGCAAGAGTTCAGTCGTCGGTGTTCTCGGTGTAGAGTCTTCAGCGAAGACCTACACTGGTGTCACTGTTACTCGGCAAGGCTTCAGCGAAGCCTAAGCCGTGGGCCACAGCGGCGAAGCGCCAAAAGGGGCGCACGGGAAAGACAGATCAGACTCCTCCAAACTGGAGTAGAGCGCCACTACTGTTGCTACGGCAGTCAGCCGGCACAGTAACCCACCAGCGCGTGCGGCACAACCGTTACGGTAAAACCGGCGGCAGCGCGGGAACGGATAGTGGAAGAAGAATCTGATCATCTGGATCGATTCTCGTGGAACGGACGAGAAACAGGTAGAAAACCCGTTATTAATTACGGGATTGGTTAGATGGTAAAATTCTCATTTTCATTGGTCCGTACTGAGCTGAGCGTAGAAGTAGGCGGAGTTTGCACGCGGCGCGCATGTCTGGCCGTTGACCGTGACGTCAGGCAGATAAAAATTTTTAACGGATTAACGTGATTGGTCAGTTATCTGAGCTGTGATTGGCCGAAATTTGAATTGAATATTTTGAGCTAGCGGACCAATCAGAAAGAAGTAAACAACCCGAATGGGATTTTCCGCTGAACTCTAGCTGTAATGGAAATTTGATTTGAGATAAGATAATTGAGACGAAAGTGACCTTTGAGTTCAGACAAAGGAAAAGTGACCTTTGATCGAATTGAGCTAAAAGTCGACCTTTAACTGGAATTGAGCGGAAAGTGACCTTAACAGAAATTGAACTGAAAGGACTTTGAGTTGAGTTGAGTCGGAAAGTGACCTTTGAGACCAGAAGTTGACTTTGACTTTGAAAAGTGACCTTTACCAAAAGTTGGAATTGACCAAATTGACCAATTTAAGTGACCTTTATGATCTGAAAGTGACGAACGGTGACCTTTAACGAAGTTGAAATTGAGCTGAATAGTAGTACAGCGATATCAGCAGCTGTAGGATTTCATTCACTAACGTATTCTGAACTGTAAAAGCGGTTTCGAAGTTTTGTCCGAAAGTGACCTTTAGGGCAAATCTCTCGAACTTTTACCGAAAAGTGACCTTTACACGGACTTAGTCGAAATTTTTCAGTCGAAAAGTGACCTTTAATAAGGACTTAGAAAAATTTCGAGGTACAAAGTGACCTTTAGGATATTGAATAAACCATACAATAACGTGTGTGAGAACAATTGGCAGGAGCGTCCAAGTTATCCGATCAACATGGACAAAGACCAAGAGGAACCGACATCCAACAGCAGTCAGGGAAGCAAAAGCTCCTGAAGCTCACAGCAAAGCGCACCAAATCCGTACAAAAGGATTTGTACCCGTACTCACGTCCAGTTGGACATGATGGAACACTCGAGCGCCCAAGGCATTCGAGAAGAAGGATTCACGAGGCTCTGATAGCACTTATCAGAAGGCGCTCGAGCCGTCGCTAATCAGGAAAGCTCCAGCGACGACTAGAGCACACTCGCGTCTACGGCGGGAGGCAATCCGATGAACCAGACAAAGGTCACCGGGGAGGACAAACCCACAGAAAGGGAGCGGAACCAGTTGAAGCATCACAGCCGGATGCTACCATTAGTGGAACGAATGAGCAGGATAAAAATGTGAACCTGGCTCAAGGGAAGATGGAAACACAAAGGTCACCGAAGAGGACTTATGAACTGGGATTGGATGACCTTTCACTGAACGATAAGACCGCGGTGATGACCTTTGGGCAACTCCAATGGTCTCAGATGAATCGAATGAATCATACTTCACGGATGATGAAGCGACGATGAATATGTCCTTCCAGACTGCGATGAAAGAAGCTGACCGTGCTGAAGGATGACACCATTCAAGGACATACCCGAGCACCCCATTGAACGGACACAAACAGGAAAGGTCATCAATGTACGACCGCCATCACCGAACAGTCCCACAACGACTTTGAGACGTGTGAAAGAGTTGGAAGACGAACTCGAAGCCAAGGAAAGTCAGGCAACGAAACGAAACAGGAAAATCGGAAAACTGTCGTCGCTGGAAGCCCGAATATACGTATTGGAACAACAACAGGTTGACTTAGAAAGCGCGGCGGACGAATGGAAAATCAAATACGAACGTCAAAGAGAACTCGCGGAAGAATACTTGAAGATGGTAGGTGACAGTGAAATGGAAGGTTATCTTGCAGTCAGTGACCTTAACGAGAGTATGTCGGAAGAATCGGCGGAAAGGTCACGACACTTAGCGGAATTGAAGGACGAATGCGACTCACTGAAACTAAAGGTCACCGAAGCTGAAACGAAAAGAGATGAATACGCAACCAAACTCGCCGATGCTACTCAGCGGTTGTTGACGAACACCACTGAAGTCTTCAAGCTCAGGAATGACCTGAAGCTGCGTGACGAGAATATCGACCCTCCAGAAGAGTCATACGATCACCAGAGAAGGGCTGATGAAGCCGCTAAGGTGGCAAAGGACTTGCGAGATCGTACAGCCACCGAAGGTGTACGGTTGAATAATGAAATAAGACAGGTGATGCAAGAGAACAAGGCGTTGAAGGAGGACAACAGAAAGG